TTGGAGTCATATATGACAAGATCCACTGTTTATGAATATGTATAAGAACTAGGCTTGTGGTTGATTTCTGAAAGTTAAAGTCGTGTGTGTTTGTGTAGAAGCTCCAAAAAACTCTTATAGAACTTCTCCCCCAGCCATAAAGCTTTGGGAACCCTTACAAAGCTTGGCTAGCGGTTTTGGAGTCATATATGACAAAATCTATAGTTTATGAATAAGTTTAAGAACTAGGCTTGTGGTCGGCTTCTGAAAGTAAAAGTCGTGTGTGTTCGTGTAAAAGCTCCAAAAAACTCTTATAGAACTTCTCCCCCAGCCGTAAAGCTTTGGGAACCCTTACAAAGCTTGACTAGCGGTTTTAAAGTCAAATATAACAAGATCCCTTGTTTATGATTGAGTATTAGAAAAAGGCTTTGAGTCGGATTCTTATATCTAAACTCGTGTGTGATTTAGTACAAGCTCCAAAAAACACTTATAGAACATCTCCTCCACCTACAAAGATTTGGGAACCATTACAATGCTTGGCTAGCGGTTTTGAAGTCATATATGACAAGATCCAGTGTTTATGAATAAGTATAAGAACTAGGCTTGTGGTTGGTTTCTGAAAGTTAAATTCGTGTGTGTTTGTGTAGAAGCTCCAAAAAAGTCTTATAAAACTTCTCCCCCAGCCATAAAGCTTTGTGAACCCTTACAAAGCTTGGCTAGCAGTTTTGAAGTCAAATATAACAAGATCCCTTGTTTATGATTGAGTATAATAACAAGTCTTTCAGTCGGATTCTTATAGCGAATCTCAAGTGTGATTTAGTACAAGCTCCAAAAAAAACACTTATAGAACTTCTCCTCCACCCACAAAGATTTGGGAACCATTACAATGCTTGGCTAGCGGTTTTGGAGTTATATATGACAAGATCCGGTGTTATTAAATAAATATAAGAACTGGGTTTGCGGTCGGCTTCTGAAAGTTAAAGTCGTGTGTGTTTGTGTAGAAACTCCAAAAAAGTCTTATAGAACTTCTCCCCCAGCCATAAAGCTTTGTGAACCCTTACAAAGCTTGGCTAGTAGTTTTGAAGTCAAATATAACAAGATCCCTTGTTTACGATTGAGTATAATAACAAGTCTTTTAGTCGGATTCTTATAGCGAATCTCGTGTGTGATTTAGTACAAGCTCCAAAAAAAACACTTATAGAACTTCTCCTCCACCTACAAAGATTTGGGAACCATTAAAATGCTTGGCTAGCGGTTTTGGAGTTATATATGACAAGATCCGGTGTTTATGAATAAATATAAGAACTAGTTTTGCGGTCGGCATCTGAAAGTTAAATTCGTGTGTGTTTGTGTAGAAGCTTCAAAAAACTCATGTAGAACTTCACCCCCACCCATAAAGCTTTGGGAACAATTACAAAGCTTGGCTAGCGGTTTTGAAGTCAAATATAACAGGATCCTTTGTTTAGGATTGAGTATAAAAACAAGGCTTTCAGTCGGATTCTTATAGCTAAACTCCTGTGTGATTTAGTACAAGTTCTAAAAAACACTTATAGAACATCTCCTCCACCTACAAAGATTTGGGAATCATTACAATGCTTGGCTAGCGGTTTTGGAGTCATATATGACAAGATCCACTGTTTATGAATAAGTATAAGAACTAGGCTTGTGGTTGGTTTCTGAAAGTTAAAGTCGTGTGTGTTTGTGTAGAAGCTCCAAAAAACTCTTATAGAACTTCTCCCCCAGCCATAAAGCTTTGGGAACCCTTACTGATATGTCTATAATTTGCATGTTTTATACATCCATTTATCACCATTTTGAGTCTAGTTTCATTCATCTTTCATAGCATTCATCATCATTTTGCACATTTTGCATGTTTAAGTGTGTCTAGCATTAGTCTTGCATGCATTTTGCATTCTGGAGTTGTTTCAGGTGCTTCGGGGCTATTGGTGTTCAGAAAGAGGAAAAACATAGCTGAAAGTCACATTTGGACCATTCTGCTCGATCACCAGTAGCAGAGAGGGAAGCAGTCAGCTCAGCAGACCATCAGGAGTGTTCTGCTCGATCACAGGGCAGTCCATCCTGCCAGT